TGTAAAGGTGTCGTACGTAGGGATGGTCCTCAACCTCCTGGGAGTAAGTATGGTGTCACGATCGCGCACGCGTGGATCAGGAGATGTTTGCCATGCTGCGCTTCCATGGTTGAAAGTGGTGAAGGGGCCTCTGCTGCTCAGCAGGTCCACGAGGATACAACTTATTCACTCAACTCGTTGGCATGCTCGAAGCACTTAGATGGGACTCAACACGGCAACTGACCGCACAATCCGGACTGGTCAGCCGAACTGTGGCTGCGACAAAAAAATAAGCTCAGGTGATATCCCCAACAGCATGCGGTGCTCTTTTTAGTGCTCGCACCACCCAGCAGCCCTCACAGAACCTCGTGGAACCCTGGTGGAACCCTGGTGGAACCCTGGTGGAACCCCCTCGTGGAACCCCCTCGTGGAACCCCCTCGTGGAACCTTACCTCAGGGCTGCCCCGGACCACCCCGGAGCCTATCTGGGCTGAGATAGGCTGAGACCCCTAAGCTTTCAGCTGGGGAAAAAACCGAAGGACGGCCATTCCAACGAGCCAAAGAGCAGCTGAGCGGATTGGAGAGGGCTGCCGGCCGAATGTTCGGGGCCTCGCGAGCCTCGCGAGCGCGCAGGAGACGGCCGAAGGCCGGTTCCTCTATCGGCTCATGAACATCGCCCACGAGCAGTGGGCGGAGCAGCAGCTCGGTTTCATAAGCCCGTGTTGTTATTGTATTTTATTGTTGATTCGTTTTCATTTGTCACAGGTGTGCTTGTAGGTCAGCTTGATTGGGCTTCGGCACTGCGTTCAGTCCAGTTTGGTTCTTATCATTTATGAGTGCCACCCAATTTTGATTCGGGACCCCTTGGGGAATATCTTTTGGCTGGGGATTTATAATTTGCAAGTTTGGCGGGGAGGGTGTGGTGGGGTGTTGGTCCCAAAAAGCCAGTTGGGCCTGATCTTTGCTGACCCGGTGAGGGTAGGGTGCTTCTTGGTTGTTCCCCTGCTAAGCAGGGCAAACATGTTCAGATGCTAGCAAGCGTTCGCCCATCTGAAGTAAGGGACCTTCACCATAGGTGAACTTGTGTACCCGTTTTGGGAGGGTATCCCCCCAGTGAAGCCCATAGCCTTCTGGTTGTTTCTCGTGGAAGCTGCCTTGAGGCTGTTCTTCGAGCAGGACCCACTGGACACAGTGAAGCTACGGGAGGAGATCAAGCCGCTCGGCCCAAAGAAAACTTGCGGCCGAGTGGATGAATCAACACTGAGGGAGGGAAGGTATCCCCTGCAGATTGTCATGGAACCAAGCAAAACGTCCTGTCTGGAATCACATGTGGAACCAGGAAAAAAGGAAAATTGTTTTTTCAAGTGGATTTGTGGGGCGGCAGGAGCCAAACTATTTTTTTTGGAAAGATCAGCGGACAGGGGAACTTTTCCCCCTTCAGGTCAAGTGGGGGGGGAGTTTTCTGGCACCGGGACGTTGAATAGATCACCCTATGAACTGCCATTTGTTTGGCTGGTGCCCTTTTGTTTTTTCCAATTGACCTTCTCTTGGCTTCCACCGCGTGACTATCCGTGAAATCACAATGTGTTTCCCCACCAGAACTGGCAGGACATGTTTGGAGTCGGCTGATGCGCGTTTTCGCGTTGCCCAAGCTCAATGAACTGAAGCTATCGGTTGACATGTCCTTCAGATGGCCTCTCCCAGTGTCCTCATGAACCAGGCGAAGTCGCTTCACATCTTCGGGGACCCTTTTACCTCAGGCGGGTGAAACGTCCAGGTTTTCTTCTTTCGCTCGCCCAAGGATCATCAGCGAGACGCGGGCCGGGGGCTCGGCTGGGCTTTGGGGCGTGCCGTGCATCGGTGCATGGCGCCCAAATGGGGCGTTGGCCCCATGATCTCAGGTACATGTTTTTCTTCTTTTCTTTTTTTTTTTGGTGGGAAATAGTGGAACTCGTTTAGATGGGTTTCGTTTCCATGGACCAGGGCCATCTAGCTGTCCAAAAGGTCACCTGTGTCCAATGTCATTCCAAAGAGGTGGACCCCGACTGGTTTCACGCATGCAGCTTCCCTTCAGCTCCCAAACTGGGAATGTTGATGCAAGGTGATTGGCTTGCCCATGGGCAGCAAGCTCCAAATTTATGTGGCAAAGTACCTGCAGGCTGGAGCCGACAGTTGCATTCAGGTGTGTGTGTGAGTATATGTGTGTGTGTGTGTGGGTGTGTGGGTGTTTGTGTTTTTTGAGGGTGCCTTTTTTCAGGTTGATTTGAATCGAAGCCAACAGGACCACCATTTTGAGGACTCGCTATTTGGATACATACTTTTTGGACCACCAACCAGCATCAGCATTTTGAGAACAGACACCATATGTTGAGGTTTAATTTGGGCAATGCGCCCACTTCTGCCTTAAAGCCTTATGCAACCTGACATGCTTTGGACCAAGCAAATTTGTATAGCTAAGGCCAGGTATGGTTCTATCGACCATTCAACTCGTTTTGGGCCCAGCTGGGTTGCAGCATGCAAACAACGCTTCAGGAGAACTTGTGTTTGAGTTGGGACTTTGAACTTTACCATGACTTGCAATTGTGAATTAATTTCAAGGTAGGCCTTATTTCTGACAAAACTCACCGCAATAATTTGCCTTCGACGGGGGGAGGAAGCCATTGGGCAACTGCCCGGAGCTTTCGACACGCTTCACACATGTGGCCCCAGGGTCTCCTGGAGTTCATTGACAAGATGCTCAGCGCACCACGGGACCACGCGCTTTCTTTGTTGGGCTTTCAGCTTGGCGCACGTTGGGGGCTTCAGTTTTGGCCACGTTTGGTTCGGCAGGTGGGCAGTAGGGAGACCGGTGGTTTTCATAGAGTTGGACCTCTCACCGGGAATTCCTTTTCGGCATTTGGCCGGTGTTCAGTGTGCCTGCGGTTTGGGAGCAGTGTGCGAAAAGTTGCTAAAGACCTTACTGGAGACGCCGGAGCTCAGGAAAGACAGTCTCCTTGCAGCGATGAAGGAGAAGGCGAGGGCGAAGATGGTGAGGGGAGGTTCTTGCCTTGTCCTTGCCTGTGGGCAACATTTGAGTCCTCATGCACTTTCTTGGCCGTGCCTTCTCAGTTTGCTTTCTTGGCGGTGTCTCAGTTGCTTGCTAAAGCTCAGCTGTGCCGAACCTGTTCGCCCCTCAAGCCCGCATGTTGATTCTGGACCTTGGGAAGCGAGACTTGAACGGCATGCCCGGCACTTGGGCCTCCGGTTCAAAGAGAAACCATCGTCTGAATTTCCTGGTGCGCTCGGTGCTTGTTTCCTGGTTTCTTTGCATATTTTCGGCTCATGAATGTGACGACAATGGCAAACAATCGGCTCATACTCAAAAACGGGGCGGACCGATGTGGACAAGAGGGTCCAACAGGGCCTGCTCAGCATACCAGGCCGCCTGAGACAACGACGCTCTCTGGCCGCTCTTGGCCGGCCATCCTTGGCCGCGCAGATAATGAGCGGATGGCGCCTGCGGAGCGGGCCGGCGGCCGGGCCAAACCTGGGTGGTAACCAAATCTTTGTTCCACTCCCTCTTGATCTGACGTGAGTCACATATCTGCAACGAGCAGGAAAGGCTGCTGCTGGAACTGCCCGAAAAGCTTGTAAGCACAACCTCGGAAAGCTGCGGGATTTGTGTTGTGTTAGGTACCAAATGATACCGCGGCAGTATCTGCAAGCCTGCCTATAAGATAATTACATTTCTGATAGGCTACCCAGCTTTCAACCAAATCCTCCCATTTCTCCGCGGCCAGTTCTGTCCCATACAGCAGGTCTCACAAGAGATAGGCTTTTTGTTGACTGTACTTCTTTTGCCAGGGGTATGCTTACGTTGGATTACTCCTTTTGCAATACTCCTTTTGCAACTTGTTTTAACATTTAGGTATCATTGCCCCCATGACGCGCTTTTAACTAACTTTGCCTCCGCATTTGTTTGACCCGAAACGGCTAAGCTCCAGCATCTTAGTGCTCTTCACAGCAGCCATTTCTGGACAGCATGACGTTAACTGCGGATCAATCAGGCAACACCATACTGGTCAATCCTAGCTAGGGTGGTTCCCCGTTGGCTGAGGGGTTTCATTGATTTTTGACGGATTCTTCTGATAAGTGTGTTGCAGTCCCCGCTATTCGGCCGGGCGCGCTTTGTCAGGTGCCGCCGGTGTTTTTTTCGAGCGAGTTTGTGCGCTGCTCGGGTCAGCTCGCAAGTTTCACACCCGACCCTTCCCAGTTGTTGCCCATGAGAATCCTCAGCCTTAGCCGTAATTTTGGTTTGACAGTGACGGGCCTGACCTGCAGCCAGAGGTTTCCCCAGATTTCAGTCCATGTCACGTCCAGTGCAGCCGCGATTTTGCCCGACATCGACCGGCGCAGTGTGGCATGAAGGGTGCGGAGGTGGCAGAAGCCTTCGGTAGTGTTTGTGGCACGCGCATTCTCCAAGTTCGTTGTGTCTAGTATTTCCTGATCGGATGACCCGCTTTTCTTGAGACCTGACAGAGATCTCCCCGAGTGGCCAAAGGCGCCCGGCCTTCGCACCGTTGCGAGCGCGAGCTCGTGTCAGCGCAGCCAAGCAGCCAAGTCAATCACGCGGAGGAAGGACAGCGCGAGGGCACTTTCTACCAGTGGGTGGTGTTGGTCGTAGTTCGGGGTTTTGGGGGAAGTGTGAGCCCTTTTTTAAGCAGGGCTTGCCTCTTTTTCCCCGCCTGAGCAATGAAGCAGAGATCTGCAGTTGTGGTTGCAGGTAACATGTCAACCCGACCGGGTTGCCCCACTTAGGGCCGCTCTCTGCGATACCAAGGGTGAGAAAGTAGACATGGGAATGACCCATGTGGGTGTGTCTTTTGTTATACAGAGGAAAGACAAATGGGCAAGCAAGGAGCAACCGGGGATTCAACAATCAAACCAGGAACCCAACAAGGGAAGCCAAGCAAGCCGCGCCACCCATGGTGGGCGATTTTCCAAAGAGCCTCGGGACGTGCGCGGGAAAGCGTCGCGGCCAGGTGCGGGCGCCCGGGCCTGGAGTCCATGATGGACATCTTCGAGCGCACGCTGCGGCGCTGGCAGCGCCTCACGCCGGAGGCGCCGGGCGATTCGGTCGGTGTGTTTGGCTGGCTGGTGGCTTGCCTGGCTTTTCTTGCTGGGCCACCCGGCGGCACCGCACCTTTGTCTTTTTGTTGGCTTTTAAAATCATTCAATTGATAGGCAAACACGGGGTCTGGGCTATATTCATCAGCCGCAACTCGGCTACTAAGCCTGGCTAGCTTCTGCTTGCCTCTTTAACGTGACCAGGGGCCACGATGGATGGAAGATCCTTGCCAAGTTTGACACGAGTTTGCCTTGGTAGATATTGGTAGATGAACTTGCAAAAGTACTTTCGTTAGACAGATGGGGATACGGCAACTATGAAGTAGAAACGGGTACGTTCTGTGAAGTGCTTGTGCAATACGGCCCAGATGGCCTTGTACGCAAAGTTCGCGTGGCTGCGTGCTACAGTGAAACAGGCTAGTTCTGAACTGTGGAATGCTCGCGGGCGCGGGCATTCAGTCCATACCCCCGCCAGTGGGGGTGTAAGGTACTGAGATGTGAGCCAAGCTTGTTATTTGCTTGGGCTTTGACTGCGCGGGTGCGCCGAATGAATGGAAACCTTAGGTGATATCCAGTGTCCGCTGATGGCCACTTCCATGCATTGCGACCTGTGTTTGCCCTGGAGTTGCCCTGAAGCTGAGTTGGCCCAAGGAGCAGGCCTCAGATCCCTTCGCCAACTGCCTGCTTGGACCCTTCGAGCAGGACACCGGCAACTTGACTGCAGACGGCTCACCGTCGATATGCTTCAGGTTAGGCTTTGGAAAGGCCTAGTCAACCTCAAAACTCCAGCCACCAGAGAGGCTTGCTGCTGGGAGGATTGCGCAACCTGGAAACTCGAGCTCGAAACTTGAAGAGGGCTGAGCTATGTCATGCAGCAAGGACTCAGCAGAGCAACCAAGGTAAGCAACCATGTTTGTTTGTTCGTTTGTGCACACACGCTCTATGCGTGTTTGCATGCCTGCGCGCGCGCGTGTGTGTGTGTGCCTTTGTGTCTCCATGTTTGTGTGTCTTTGTGTGTTCTCAGCTCGCGACCTAGGCGCTCATTTTTGCCCACTGCGATGGCCAAAATTGCTTCTGATGCCAAAGCGGCCAAAGTGTGTTACGCTTGGCTTCAGCACAGATTGAGGCACCCGTCGGACTTTGCCCTGGGCTTGGTCAAGTTGCGAAGCCCATCGCTCCTATTCTTTGAAGATTTTGGTGACATGTTAGATCTGTCGTGGGCTCACGTCTTCCGGGATGCCTTGCATTGGACATGTTTTTGTGTCCAAGGCGGCGGCAAGACCTCCTGCTTCTACTACGACTTGGAGCTTCCCGGCAGCATCCCAAGCCGTGGCGATGGGAATGTATGGCCTTGGCTGCTTGCTTCCAGTAGCACAACTGCCAGCTGCTGGGAATGCATCCTCTAACCCGGGATGGTGGCTGTTTTGGAGCGTCGAAATTCTTATGGCTTTGGGCGACCATTGCTCCTCCCTCCTTTTCGTTTTTTCCATTCAACAAACACAGATGCCCCGGGGGGCGGGGGCAGCTGGGCAGAGGTTGGATCTGAGGAATGAGCGGACCGTCTTCAGCGAGACGACCCAGGGCTTGCTGGTCCTCTCGCTGCCGGCACTGGTGGAGCTCATGAAGGACTGCGAGATGCAGGCGGGGCGGTCGTGGCAGCGGGGCGGTCGTTGAGGCTGGGAAGGCGCGCATTTTGGCCATGCTTCCCCCAAGCGAATCTTTTTTCTTTCTTTTTTTCCGGAATTGGGTCTGACACCACAACTCCGCGGAGAAGCCGTGTGGCGTCGCGAGCATCAGGGCTCGTCATGCTTCGCATGATTGAGGCTCTGACTAGCTTGCTTCAGGGTTGGACAGCGGCACATGGCCAGACATTCGCGAGCTTTTGGGCTGGCTTCGCCGCTTGGCACTTCACTTGATGTAGGCCGAAAACCTCGTGGAGCTGCGAATCTTGCGGGACCTCACGGTGGCGAGAAAGAACCAGGAGGCGCGCGCTCTCAATCAGTCAAAACGACCGATTGAGGACAGGCAAGACGAACTCTTGGCTGCACGTTGTTCGTTTCTTTGTTTCTCTCCTTTTTTTGTGGGGGGTGACTGCTCCCGGCATGATGGAGCCCTATCGAGGCTGCGAGCAACTGATACCAAACAGCCGAACAGTTCAACAACAAGCAGAAGCTGGAAAAAGGAGATCCCTCAATAGGCTCAGTTCTCAGCTTCGCAGCTCTACCCGTGGAAAAGACGCACCGGCACACCGCTGGCGCCAGGTGCGTGCACGCGTTCGGGCCGCGCGGCCGCGGAGTTTGCGCCAGCGGGTGCAGACGCGGCTTAAGGCAGCTCGGCCCGGCACTGGCAACTGGAAGCGTCTGACTCATGTAGCGCTGGACCTCTTACGCAAGCATGTACAGTCAGAACCTTGATTTTTTGAGTGAGACTGGAGTAATCAAGCTTCCAACTCCCTCACTTTGGTCTGTAGGAGGACTCCACGCGTTTTGGCACCAACCTGGTGGGCCTCTTCAACCAGCCGCTTGGCAGTGGGCTGCAGGAAACAAGCTGAACTTGAATCTCCACATGGGTTGGCTCAATCAGTTGAAGCAATCCAAAGGTACACGCCGAAGACAAGACACATCGACTGCTGTAATGCGTTTGAGGGAACTATTTTACTTATTGTGATGTGTTGTGTGGACATTTTGGGCTATGCCAAGCCGCAAGTGGGCCAGCTTGTTCCCTTCTTACCACATTTGGGGGGGTCAACCTTCGTGCAAACATGGGAACTGACAGAACGCTTTGGTCCTATACATGCGGCCACGTCCGGATTTGGACCATCCGGAGGGGCCACTTTGAGCCCGGCACATCGGGCTCTGACTTTGTGGCATGCATCCCGCCACTGATCTCAAGCTGACAGGAGCAGCCCTCAAAAGCGGCAACCCTTTGCGTTTGAACACAATATTTTCTGGCGCATGTCGGCGCTTGTGCCATATATCTGCCACATATGTGCCATGTATGTGCCACATATGTGCCATGTATGTGCCATTTTGTGGGTGGACGAAATCCTGCACCACCTAACACATCCTGGAATGATGATTCCGGGCCCATGTAAATACCGACGAACAATGGTTTCAAGCATGGTTTCAAAGTGCTAACGGATCTTTCTCCATCCACAGGAGCCTAAGAGCTTCCGAGTTCACTGTTGGGGTTGGATGGTTCAGGAAGCGGCCGGCGAAGCATGGCCACAGCTGGGCGCCGTTACCAGAGGGCGGGGATTCCTCCGGCGGTCGAGCCGGCGGCGTTTTTATGGCTGGTGCTTGGAGGGAATGTGGGAATGACCTTGTTGTGGCCTCTAAGGGGATTTTTGGGTTCATTCCCGCATTCCAGCAAGTTTTCGGTTTTCCTCAAAGGTTGGTAAGCTTTAGGCTGACAGAAAGGGTGGAAAGGCACATTTTCAGCTGCCCTGGAGAATCCCGAAGAAACAGCTCATTGCTTGCTCTCAACCAATTTCTGATCGAACATGTTATATGTTACGCGGCGTGGAGCCAGGGAAGCCCTTTTAGAGGATGTTCTTCGCACCCTCTCGCGGGCACGGCTGCTGGTGTTGTGGCGAAATCTGTGCAAATGGGCACGGAACGGAACGGTTAAAACTCTCTTGGCCCTGCAGGGCCCAAACGTGTCCAAACTTGTTGCGGGAGTTGCCTTCCGAGCTTTACCGGCAAACAATGCAAGCCAGCCAGCAAGCTTGCCGCCGTTGCTATTCTTGGCAGGGCATGGTATTTCCCTGCAGTGCAACGCGACCGGTCTCGAAATCCGGCCGCAGGCGACGCTGACGAGCCGCAGTTTGCCAGGGCCTCTTCTGTGGATAGCCAGGACCCGAAGTTCGACGGATGTGTCAGTGCACAAGCACCCGGGTGAGAGCTGCTGGGATTGTTGAGTTGGGTGATAGTGCTGGGCCCTTCAGCATGTCTGCCCTAGACTTGCCATGGGGCCGCAAAGTTCCGCTGATGTTCAAGTAGAGGGCTAGACAACCGAGGGCAGGTGAAGGTAGGGTAGAGTTAGAATACATCTTGAATGAAACATGGAAACGCATAGCACACCACGCATGTCCAACCTATGGCATGACCTAACTCCAACATTGTAACCCAAAGTAACCCAGTTTAACTCATTCTAACCCAATGCAACCCTTTGTAACCCGTGGAGTTGCCCATGGCAACATGCATTGTGGGTGTCTCAGATGTAGGGACTCCGGCAGGTGGCGCGTTGCCTTTTCACTTCTCCTTGTGAAAGCGTGCAAAGTGGAGGTGTCCCCAGGTTTAGGCATACCCTTCCTCTCACTCGAAAGGAATTGTGGGCGGGTAGCTGGTTTGATTCCTCTTGCAGAGGCCATGTCTACGTCAGGTGTCTCAATAGGCGGTGTATTTGTTGCAGGTACCCTTTTCAGGTTGGTTCAAAACAGGATCCCGCATGTTTGGGAGCCCGCGAGGATCTCACGCTGAGGGCGGTGGCAGGGAAGCACGCTGCGGACTTCGTGCCGGAGCGCTTGCCCTGGCAGAACCTTGGCAAGGATCGAAGTGTTGGGCTAAATGCGCCACGGGTAAAATCCGTTTTTTTAGTTTGCAAGCAGCTTCTCCGCCTCAAAAATCCACTGGCAAAATAATCAGTTGTTTTTTTAGTCCTGGTTTCCATCTACCAGGGTTCCATCTTCGGGTTACCCTATTTTTTGACGGCTGTTGAAAGGCAATGCTAAAACTTGGGTGGGGTCCCCTTGGTGGCTTCCCAAAAACGATTCCCAGATCCTTCAAGAACTTGATCGTCCAGGTACCTCCTTCTGCGATGTGTTCGGGCTTTTTTGGCGCGCTTTGGCTTTTCTCTCCAGGATGGGGCTTTTTCCCTTTTTATTTTGCCAGTGGATTCTTGAGGCGGGTTCTCACCAAGAAGCTGCTTGCAACAAAGCAATGACCGGGCCCTGAGCTGATCGCAAGCCCGAGGCCAATTCCAGCTCTCTAGCTCGCTGCTTTTCTTGGGTTGTGAGGTTGAGGAACCAAAAACGACTCACGCTTGTGCGTCGATGGCAGCACATTCCAGCATGGGAAGCTTGGTCAACCAACCGGTGTTGATCAACATGCGATTCATCAGCCTGCGTTTCGAAGCCGGCAAAGTGTTGGTCTCCCCGCGTTTTTTTTTTGGAGGGGGTGGGGGGGGGGGGTGGCAGACACGAGGGCCGCAGCTTTCTTTTGGCTTTTGGTGGCAAGCTGCCTGTTTGCAGTCATGGATGTATGCTGAGGATCCTTTGCCGGCTCACCCGCATGTGCCAGCTCACCTGGTTCATGCCGCTCGGCGAAAGAAACCCAAAGCCGGAAAAGAAAAAAACGGAAGAGGCATATTGCCTAGCAAGAGCCCAACAGCCTCTTGCTTTAAACCAGCGGGCCAATGAAAAAAGAAGATGCCGCGAACCGCTTCTGATTTCTGCGGCACCCGGATTATTTCAAAGTTGACACTAACTGTGGTTACGTGTCTTTTGTTCCCTTCCTCCTCAGTAATTACAAATATGGAGCTTGTGGACCCTGGGGGCACGAACCTCCCACAAAGTACACCCTCTCGGATTCTTGATTCAACGCTTCACAGCTGAAGCCGGCAGTTGTGATCCAATCACCTGTCACTTTTGGATTTCCTTTGAAGAACCATCAGGTGTGGCTTGATGACGCTGCTCAAGGAGCTGGGCATGTACCAGGCCCATGGGTAGTTCCGTCCCCCTTTGGGCAAGTCAGATTCACTTTGCACCTTGCACATGACCCCATCATACCCCATCCGAAATCAACTGGTAGGAAAGGGCGTTCAAAGGCATCCCCCCAATTCGCTGAGCGGAATCCTTTGCGCACAAATCACAGAAGCACACACACAGACAATGCCCACGTACAACACACATGCACACAATGCGTGCACGCACACACACAGACACACACACACACGCACATAACGCACACGCACCGCGCACATACGCCACATACGCACATGCACGCGCACAAGCAGACGGCACATGTGCAATGCGCAACGCGCACGCAGATTTGCACACGCACAAGCACCCACTTACGCACTTACGTGTTCTATGATCGTGAGTGAATTGGGTTTCGTTCGTCGCGTGCAACCCCAGTTTGATAAAACTAGGTGCATGCCCCGCCAGGTGGACTTCCAGCTGCATGCGGCTCGCCAGCTGACAGAGTCCTTGCGGTTGCAGGAGCTGAGCAAGTAGCATGTTGTTCATGAAATGTGTTTGTATGTTTGTCGCTTTGCCTTGTTTTGCCTGGTTCTGCCTGGTTTTTCTGCTGCTTCTTCTGCTGCTGCTGCTGTGGCGTGTTTGTTTGTATGTATGTTGTGCGATGTTTTGTTGTTGTTCCGTTTTGTTGCTTGCTTACTTGTTTCCTTGCTTGCTTGCTTGCTGGTTTGTTCGTTCGTTTGTATGTATGTATGTAATGTATGTATGTAATGTATGTATGTATGTATGTATGTATGTAATGTATGTATGTATGTATGTATGTATGTATGTATGTATGTATGTATGTATGTATGTATGTATGTAATGTATGTATGTATGTATGTATGTATGTATGTATGTATGTATGTATGTATGTATGTATGTATGTATGTATGTATGTATGTATGTATGTATGTATGTATGTATGTATGTATGTATGTATGTAATGTATGTATGTATGTATGTATGTATGTATGTATGTATGTATGTATGTATGTATGTATGTATGTATGTAATGTATGTATGTATGTATGTATGTATGTATGTATGTATGTATGTATGTATGTATGTATGTATGTATGTATGTATGTATGTATGTAATGTATGTATGTATGTATGTATGTATGTATGTATGTATGTATGTATGTATGTCATGTATGTATGTATGTATGTATGTATGCATGCAGGTATGTATGTATGTATGTATGTAATTTATGTATGTATGTAATGTATGTATGTATGTATGGCTGTAATGTAATGTAATGTAATGTAATGTATGTACAACGTATGTATGTATGTATGTGTGTGTATGCATGTATCTATGTATGTATGTATGTATGTATGTATGTATGTGTGTATGTATGTATGTAATGTAATGTAATGAAATGTAATGTAATGTAATGTAATGTATGTATGTATGTATGTATGTATGTAATGTATGTATGTATGCATGTATGTACGTATGTATGTAACTGTTTGTTTGCATGCATGTATGTATGTATGTAAATGTATGTTTGCATGCATGCATGCATGCAAGTATGTATGTATGTATGTACGTGTATGTAAATGATGTAATTGTATGTAAATGTATGTAAATGTATTATGTATGTAATGTATGTATGTATGTATGCAATGTAATGTAATGTAATGTAATGTAATGTAATGTAATGTAATGTATGTAATGTAATGTAATGTAATGTAATGTAATGTAATGTAATGTAATTGTATGTATGTATGTATGTATTGATGTAAGGGAATGTATGTAAATGTATGTAAATGTATGCAATGTATGTATGTATGTATGTATGTATGTATGTATGTATGTGTGTGTATGTATGTATGTGTGTGTATCTATGTTTGTATGTATGTATGTATGCGTGTATGTATGTATGTATTAATGTAATGTAATGTAATTTAATGCAATGAATATATGTATGTATTTATGTAATGTATGTAATGTAATGTACTGTACTGAACTCAAATGTAATGTGATGTAATGAATGTATGTGAACTGTATGTATGTATGTATGTGTGTGTATGTATGTATGTATGTATGTAAATGTATGTTTGTAATGTATGTATGCAATGTCATGTAATGTACTGCACTGTACTGGTAAGTATGCATGTATGCATGTAATGTAATGTATGTATGTATGTAGGTATGTTTGTATGTATGTAAATGCATGTGTGTATGTATGTATGTGTGTAAATGTATGTAAATGCATGTAAATATGTAAATGTATGTAAATGTATGTAAATGTATGTAAATGTATGTAAATGTATGTAAATGTACGTATGTATTTATGTCATGTAATGTAATGTAATGTAGCGTATGTATGTATGCCTGTATGTATGTATGTATGTAGTGTATGTATGTACGTAATGTAATGTAATGCAAAAAAAAATAACGCTGTGTAATGTAATGTAATGTAATGTACTGTAATGTAATGTATGTATGTATGTAATGTATGTATGCAATGTATGTATGTATGTATGTAATGTAATGTAATGTAATGCAATGCAATGCAATGCAATGCAATGCAATGTAATGTATGTATGTAAATGTATGTATGTAAATGTATGTATGTAAATGTATGTATGTAAATGTATGTATGTATGTAATGTAATGTAATGTATTGTATTCTACTGTACTGTACTGTACTGGTATGCATGTATGTATGTATGTATGTATGTAATGCAATGTATGTATGTAATGTATGTAATGTATGTATGTATGTATGTATGCATGTATGTATGTATGTAATGTATGTATGTATGTATGTTATGTATGTATGTAATGTATGTATGTATGTATGTATGTATGTATGTATGTATGTATTGTATGTATGTAATGTATGTTTGTATGTATGTATGTATGTATGTAATGTAATTTAATGTAATGTAATGTAAATATATTTATGTATGTATGTATGTATGTTATGTATGTAATGTAATGTAATATAATGTAATGTAGTGAATGTAATGTGATGTATGTATGTATGTATGTATCTATGTATGTATGTATGTATGTCTGTATGTATGTATGTAATGTATGTATGTATGTATGTATGTATGTATGTATTTATTTATTTATGCATGTATTTATGTAATGTATGTATGTTCATGTATGTATGTATGCATGCATGCATGCATGCATGCATGCATGCATGTGTGTATGTATGTATGTATGTATGTACGTGTATGTATGTATGTAATGTATGTATGTATGTATGTAATGTAATGTAATGTAATGTAATGTAATGTAATGTAATGTAATGTATGTATGTAATGTAATGTAATGTAATGTAATGTAATGTAATGTAATGTAATGTAATGTAATGTAATGTATGTATGTATGTATGTATGTATGTATGTATGTATGTATGTATGTATGTATGTATGTATGTATGTATGTATGTATGTATGTATGTGTATGTATGTAATGTAATGTATGTATGTAATGTAATGTAATGTAATGTAATGTAATGTAATGTATGTATGTATGTAATGTATGTAATGTATGTATGTATGTATGTAATGTAATGTAATGTAATGTATGTATGTATGTATGTATGTATGTATGTATGTATGTATGTATGTATGTATGTATGTATGTATGTAATGTATGTATGTATGTATGTATGTATGTATGTATGTATGTATGTATGTATGTATGTATGTATGTATGTATGTATGTATGTATGTATGTATGTATGTAATGTATGTATGTATGTATGTATGTATGTATGTATGTATGTATGTATGTATGTATGTATGTATGTATGTATGTATGTATGTATGTATGTATGTATGTATGTATGTATGTATGTATGTATGTATGTATGTATGTATGTTGTGTATGTATGTATGTATGTATGTATGTATGTATGTATGTATGTATGTATGTATGTATGTAAATGTATGTAAATGTATGTAATTGTATGTAAATGTAGGTGAAAGTATGTATGTATGTATGTAATGTAATGTAATGTAATGTAATGTAATGTATGAATGTATGTATGTAATGTAATGTAATGTATGTATGTATGTATGTATGTATGTAATGTATGTAATGTATGTATTGTATGTAATGTATGTAATGTATGTAATGTATGTAATGTATGTAATGTATGTAATGTATGTAATGTATGTAATGTATGTAATGTATGTAATGTATGTATGGTATGGTATGGTATGGCATGGTATGATGGTATGGTATGGTAGGTATGTATGTATGTAATGTGATGTGATGTGTTGTAATGTAATGTAATGCAATGTAATGTAATGAATGTATGTACATGTATGTGCATGTATGTAAATAAATGTAAAAGTATGTAAATGTATGTATGTACGTATGTATGTATGTAAATGTATGTATGTATGTATGTTTGTTTGTTTGTTTGTTTGTTTGTTTGCTTGTTTTTGTTTGTTTGTTTGGTTGGTTGGTTTGTTTGTTTGTTTGTTTGTTTGTTTGTTTGTTTGTTTGTTTGTGTGTTTGTTTTGATTGTGATTTTGTCGTGGTTGGTTGTGACATTCAGGTCAGAATGGTTTTCTGCTCATGGTTGTGGTGTCGGCAGGTGGCGGGTGTGGTGGGCAATTGCTTTCGCCGGGGCTGGAGACCTGGTGGTGCAATTGGTGTTAGTGGCTTACAACATGGCCAACAGAAACAGGCCTAGGGGAAGCTTCCGCATTCGTTTTAGGGATCCTTCTTTTCAGGAAGTCAACACTTCCAAGGGGAAACGCCCGGTTTTTGAAAAGAACGATGGTTGAGCTGGAACCAACCCCTAGAATAAGACAAAGTCGGCGTCGGAACAAAGCAAACAAGCAACAGCAACAAAAAACAACGAACAACGCAAAACAAATCCCAACAAAAAAGGAAAACGCAACGGGAAAAAAGCGAAAACAAATCCGCACCCCAAAATGGCTCCCCTGTGTAAAGGAGCTGCCTGTCCACTGGCCCAACGGCAGCTTCTTCGTGGCCGCACCTTGGCAATCACGGCGCTTTTGGCCGGTAGTGCGGCTTTTGTTCGCTTCGGATGGCGCTGGGTTTTCCCTTTCTGGGTCCAGCTGGGTCCCAGTTCGAAGAATACGTGGCTGTGGTTTCAAAAATGTACCAAAGCGGCCTTGGTGAATGGAACCAAAGACCAAACCAATGCTTCCAAGCTTTTTGCCATCATCTACCTCGTATTTCTCATCACTAGCCGGCTGCTTGGGGGTTGAGCGTGGCGTATTGGCAAGTGCCAATCACTATGAGTTGAACATCTAGTTGGCATCTTTGGGAGCCAGGAGAGCGTGCAAAAGTGGTATCACCTTTTGCACGGGTTAGAAAGTAAAGCAAGCATGTTTGGTTATGTTTGATTGGCAAAAGTTGTCGGTACGGGATGACATTTCTTGAGATCCTAGCATGAGTTTGGCTCAGTAATTAAACCATCATGTTTGCCAAGGGCCCAAGTGTTTTAACCGTCTCACCTGGGTCTGACAGGAGTCATGGTCATCGGGGGTTCCGGATTTCAGGTGTTCGAACTATTGTTGTTGAATTGTTGCATTCTGTCTTTTTCCTCTTTTTTTTTGTGGGGGGGGGAGGAGGGGTTTATGTTTTGGTTACTTTTCCCGATGTATTTCTTCAGTGCATCCCGCTTACCATTATTCTTGTCATTATTTTCCGCGTAGGCCCGGGAACATCTTCCGCGCTTTGTTTCTTTTTGGTTTGCGGGTAGCTTGCTTCTTGCCATTTGGATTGTTTGTTTTTGGCGCTTTGCATCTTGTGCTTTTCGGCATGTCAGCCTCATGCTTTGGCGACTTGGCTCTGTCCTCGTTGTTAATGTCTGGAAGAGGCCCACCCTAAGGCAAGCTTTACGGTGAGCTTGGGGTCATGGCATCTCATTGGTTTTCCTGTAGCCACAACCCAGACCTTAAGCCAACTTGACGTCCAACCCTGAACCATGACAACCCTGAGCTTCTCCCAAGCAACCCAAATGCCACCCCGAGAGACAGCCACCGCAACCCACATATAAAAAAAATCAGAGACACGGCCCAACTCACGTCTTCAAAAGTACACTGCAAATCTCTCCCGAACCAGGCTGCAGCCACCCCAAGGTTATTTTTATATTGGGGCACATTGCGGTACCTTGTTGAGCGTGAGGCCATGATCTTCCGCATTTGTGTGTTGGTGCACATGTGGGTACGGGTCAAAATTAAACCACCAAGGGACTGCAGGTTTTTGTCCTTGTTTCAATTACCGAGGTTCCAGGTTGGTACCTATCTTTGACCCACACCATGTGGGAAATTTACGGGGGAACATCCAGACCCCCGCACGGCCGCTCGGCCAATTTTTACGAGGATGGATTGTTGCGTTTTGCTTGGATGTTAGGACTTTAACTGTTTTTGCCAACTGATGGGTTTTCCATTAAACCGCAAAAAAGTTAAACTTTTAGCAGGGGAGCAGAAAGCAACCGAGGATGGATTGTCTTGCAGCAGCGGCCTCGTCATCAGCAGCCCCACGGGCCTCTTCCTTGGCTCAGAGGAGGCTGACGGGAGTCGGGCAGGGCAGGGAAGCGGTGAAGCAGCGAAGGGGGATATTCGTTTGGGAGCTTCTTTCATGGTTGTTTGGAAGTAACCCTGCAATTGAATCTAGGGTGAATTTGTGTACTTGGACCTCCCTCCGAGTCAGGGAGAGATGATGAGTCGTCCACATTGTGTTAATCTTCCCTCACGGCCATGTGACGTTGTCTCGAGATGAGCAGGGGGGGAGTTTCCCTTTGGTTTCCTCGCGGGCACTGCCTCCCATTCCGGGAATCTCACCGGGTGGTTTCCCTTGGGTTTTCCCTCGAGCAAGACACATCCCTTGGCTTTTCCGTTGCAATGGAAGTGGAAAAGATGCCTTTTCAGCAGCGGTTGTCTTCCAAGCCCTTTGGTCCGCTCTCATTGTTGGAAAATGGGGAACCTTCAACCTCGGCCCGAAGGGAAGGCCGAAAGACATCCGGCCTGGGGCCAACCCGCCAACCAGTCCTCGCCACCCCCCAACTCCCTTTTCCCTCCAAAATTCCAATTGCGGTTTATTTTCGTGAGACCTTCGGCCCACCGACTTTTCCTGCTGAGCAGGGCCCTTGTGGCTTCCTTTAAGGGAATCCATCCACATACACTGATAATGGATCTACAGCAAGGGAACCCCCTGAGTTTCATTCCCACATTCCTACTTGTCGCACCAGCAAGCAGTCCTTTTTGGTTGATTTGGTCGAAAAATAGAGGGCGATTCCTGGTTTATTTGGTGGTTCAATCAACTACCAGGGCCATCAATTTTTCCAAGAAGGACACCTATTACCAGCAAGTTTTGAGCCGCCAGGGGCGGCTGGAGCTTCTGGCCCCGCGTGCGGTGCCGGGCCTGGCGATGCTGGGCCGGAGACCTAAAAGAGCCGCGGAAAGGATCCGGGCGCCGGGGGGCGCAGGAAGATCTCCTTCTGGGGGTTGATTCGTCGGGGATAGAATCATAGGTGTCCTTTTGATGGGTTAGTTTGGCTCAACATAGGCAGCACTGGTTTAGGTCAGGGTTTGATTAGACCTTTTCCAGGAGGAAACCCATCTACTTTTTCCAGAAGGGCACCTATGGAAGCAATCCCGTGCTGTCCACCGGGGATTCCAAGTATACAGCGATGCTTCTTGCCAGTTGGGTGGCTTCATGGCTCGGCTTTGGCATGTGCTTTTTTCTTTCAGGGGGGGGGTGAGGTGATGGGGTGATGGCAGGCTTTGAGAGCCAGCGGCGAAAGGGGCCGCACTGCAATTACGCAGTGCTGGGGTCCCCCGAACCTTGAGCATGCACAGAGCTGCGCCCTTGGAGCATGCCCAGACGCCATGAAACATAGCTGTTTGGCGCGTGTAAGGAGGCACCAATCTCAAACACACCACTCAGAAGCACGGACATTGCAGTAGTCGACGCAGGGTGGAGCAGGGAGGGGATGGAACTTTGGGCGAGCACCGGAGGAAGTGCCAGAACAAAGAATGCCGACATCTCAAGCACAGCGCTCAGGGGCTTGAAGATTGCTGCCACAACTTCATCGATGGCAAGGAGCATGGGCCAAATTGTGAACAAATGCCCCACTTGCGGAAGTGCCTACGCAAAGAATGCCAAAATTTCAGGCACACCTGCTGGCTCGTTTGCCAGACATATTGCATGCCAGATGCTGGAAGCTCAGGATGCATGACATCATGAGCTGTGTTGGTACTGTGAAGCCATGCCTTTCCCTAAGGTGCTAGAAACAACTTTCCAGCCAGGAATGTTCTTCATTCTGCCCAGCGGCATGGAACGAGCGCGACAATAGCTTGTAGGTCGTATTTGCGTCACACGGCACCTGCCATCGCCTGCCCTTGCCTCTGAGAGGTTGCATTTTGTTCTACTGCACCAGCAGTGCAGAGGTGTCCAGATGTTTGTTGCGACTGGGGCCCTGCCAGACATGTTCCGTCGGCAAAAGAAACAGAGTTGGCCCTGAATTTGAACTGAGTGTTGGTGGAACAGTCATGCTGGGAGCAGCGTGGCTGCATGATGTACTGAGTCCAATCTTCGAGGTGGTGATGTTTGATGGATCAATCCTTACTTGCTGACAACGCGAAGCTGACTGGTCATGAGTTTTGGGTTGCTTTGGGGCATGTCAGGTAGCGTTCCGGGGCACGCAGTGCCACGCCCTCCCCACCCAAACCTGCTGCAAGAGCCTGGCGCGAAACCATCGCATCCCTCCCCCTCCACCCCCCTGGCCCTCTCCGCGGCCTGGCCTTTAGGCGAAGATCTGCTGGCGCCGGCCAGGGGCGGCCTGCAATTCTGGAGCCTCAGAGATCTCCAGCAAGGCCTGGGGAGTCGGTGTGAATCTGATGGTGGCGGAAGAGGTTGAACCCCTAACGGGCTTGAGCCATGTCCAGGGCTTATGACGTAAAAGCCGTGTGTGATGCCTGCCTGCCTATGGCTCTTCAGCTGTTCCTGCTTTGATCGTTTCTGTGAGGCTGGGGCATGCGGCCAGCAGCCTTTCCGTAGGGTGCCATGCACCAAAAAGGCTTCCATCCTTGGGCGGACCCCCAAGACCGTGGTTTTCCTTTGGGTTGCCCTTCGCCACAAAAAAAAAAAAAAAAAAAAAAAAAAAAAAAACGGGGGGCGCCCGCCAAAACGAGAGACACGGCCGACTTTTTCCGCAGGGCTGTTTCGTTCTGAGTCTTCCCCGGCTTCTTATCCCCTTCGCGCGGCGGCGGGGGTAGGGGTGCGCGCGTGCGGCTTCTCGACACGAGGCCTGGCCGGGGAGTACCTCCCGCTGGACGGCGCGGAGCTCAGCTTTGAGAGATCGCCGGGGTTCGAGGCGGCGGGACAAGGGCGACAAGGGTTCGAAGCTTCTGCACTTTAGAAACTTGTTGGGTTTGGACCATTTTAGTGGCAAACAAAAAGGTTGGATACGTATTTGGGGCCATCAACGCAGGACGTGAGAAGGAGAAGCTTCGCGGCACACGCTTGATGCCCCAACAAAAAGGTACCGGGCTGAAGTGTTTTGGTTCAATGGGGGGGGGGAAAGATACAGTAGTGGCCTGCTCGACAACAAAACCATGGACTTTGGCTCTTCTCTCTCTCTCTTTCTCTTTCTCTCTCTCTCTCTCTCTCTCTCTCTCTCTCTCTCTCTCTCTCTCTCTCTCTCTCTCGCTCTCTCTTTGCGACATTCGCCCACTTTGATTGGTTAAGTATGGTGTGCTACAAGTGGAATACTGGTTTCGGAGAAGTTCATTGGTGCCTGGGGCTGGCGCTTTGCAGTCTTTGCTATTGCGCGCGCTTGCGATGGAGCAGAGGTGGTTTGCTCTTGGCCACAAACCGCCCGGAGTACCTCCGAACCACCAATTGAAAGAAAGCTTGTAACTTTGAATTGGACTGAAACCACCGCCGATGTATGAAGACCTCTCCCGTTTTGCCGTTCTGAGAAGCGAGGCCATCAAGACTGAACAACCAAGCCACACTTAGCTGGAGACAGTCCAACAGCATCATTGCTACTTCAGGGCGCTGCACCCCCCCATTGACTGGCTCGCGGGTGGTGGATGGCACGGTTGCCTTTCGATAATTGAGGGTGACGCTTGACTCGTTTTCATTAGATACTGCGGATGCTGCTTAGGCTCCCAGCCCGCTGTGGCCCCCAAACTGCTTCTCCGCGGGGGTGGGTTTGGGCGAGGCGTGAGGCTGCGTCAGGCTGCGATTGCCCCGTATAAGGACCACCGTGGAGGAGATGACCTTAATGTTGACCCCATATTGCTCAACACTAGTTTATGAATATGGGGGCGTTCCCCTCCAAAAGTGATGCTCCCCCACATCTGAACCAGGGACACCCCCCCTATCAAGAAACAGGTTGATTAATCTGTGGTCAACATTACCCATCCATTTCCGATCATGCTCATTGTTCATCAGCCTCCTGGGGTGCGCTTCCAGCCCTGAAGGCCCCCCTCCAAATTCGAGTTGAGCCCATGCCAGCTGAAGGCCGCAACCCCCCGCAGCCAAAATCGGCTCAAGCGGAGATCCGAGCCCTTTGGCTTCCTTCGGCGCCTGAGAGGCCTGGACGGTCAACCGCTGTCAAATGGCCCGGGTGTGTCTCAAAAGAAATGGGGCGCAACAGGCGAGTTTTTGACTTTTGGGCCGTTCGGGGTCCATTGGACACTCTGTGCCCAGTTGCTCAGTGCGTTCACAAGAAATGGTCAACCCCAGAATTTCTTTGGGGGCAAAAGGATTGGACATTGGCATGGAAAGAGCCATTTTGAATTTGCAATCTCTTGGGGTGCAGCCCTAGAACCGTCCAGCCAAGCTTACAGCTCGAGTACCCTTGTTGGCCCGAGTGGCACTTTGAATTTCATAGCCATCGTCAGTTGGCGAAGCACCCTTGACTTGGTTCTTTTGATACCTCGCTTGTCCACATCCAACACAGAGAAGCCACATCCAGCTCCCAGTACTTCATATGGCTTGCAGGTCCCTCGCACGGCGAACGGCTCGCCATGGGCAAAGGAGGCGGTCTGAGGGGATGTGCCTAGGGAAGGGCTATGTGTTTCTAGGGGTGCCTTCCATGTCCATTCTTTCCAGAGATCCTCTTTCTAGAAAACCCGGTTTTTGAAAAGAACGATGGTTGAAAATAATGGGGAATCAACCTCTAGAGTGTTGCCTTTTGCCGCGGATACTTTTGCATGTGCCTTCTCCAAAGCATCTCAGCATGGGCGTGATGGGAATGAGCTTATGGCAAGACGGGCAGGCAAATCACCCCCACTCATCATCGGACTCAGGCCTGGGCTCTTACACCTTTGTCCTTGCAATCGTCAGCTCATCCGCTGCTGTTGAGTCATTGGCATTGCTCCACCCCCCAGGTCAAAATGTAGCACGTTGGCAGTGTTGTTCCTGTCGACGCTACCTTTGGTAGCTTTCACCTTTATCAGCTCTGAATTTCTCTCGGTCTTCCAGATGCCTTGCGGGCCACAATGACTCATATTATTCTTGTTTCCTGAGAGGGCAACTTTGTTCCCGCCGGCACGGCGCGCTTGCCAGGAGGCAAGAAGGGTAAGGGCAAAGGCAAAGGCAAGAGGTGCCTTGGCAAGCAGAACAGGCCGATTTCTGCCGATCAAGGGGTCTTGCATTTAGGGACTCTAAAACGGGCTCAAATATATAGCCGGGTTCCAGCTTGAATCAAAGGGCAATATATGCGTGGCAGTCTACAGCCTAGTACCCATTTGTTAGAACTCATTTAGGGTTACCCAATTGAAGCTTTCATGAAAAAACGAGGCTGCTGGAGAGGTTTGCTTGCTTTGCAGGCTGAGCGTTGGAGTGCTTGGAATACATGCGACGACGTGGCACCCAGGGCTACAGATCAGCCAGCCCCAGGTCCTTCGAGCCGGAGGGGCCCCCGGAGGAGATCGAAGAGGTCGGGGAAGCTATGCACCCCTGTGAGGACCAGTTGGCCCCTTGCGCTGCAGTCTGGCGTTCAGGTTTTTTGTTTGCTCGCTTGGCTTGGCTATGGCTTGGCTCTGTGCTTTGAATTGGCTTGGTTTGCTCCCGATTCAGAAGATTCGCCAGTGCGGGCGGGTCGCGAATCGGACGTCAGGTCTGCAAGTGCACCAACGAGCGGGTGCCGCAGTTTAATGCCCGCATTTTCCTGGACAACAAGGAGCAGATCGGGAAGGTGGACGCCCTTTGGCCTCCAAAGAATTGGGGTTGACGGTGCCTCGTTTGCCTGCCGATCCATGTTGAGTTGTGCTTGCAGAGGGTCCATGTGCAAAGTTTTCAGGTGTGTTTACTAAGCGCTCTCACGTGATACCAAGGATATCTTCGGGCCGATCAACTCCTTCTACTTCTCAGTGGCTTGGACAACTGCTTTGGCTGTGGCTGGTAACCTGATTTGGGGAAGCGACCAGTCGGTCAGCGCCATTGAATCAGCCCAGCCCTTTCACGGATGCCCATTGGATCAGCCGAGCCGTTTGGGCCATGGCAGCTGACGTCCTTTTTTCCTCCTGGGCCCCGTCCTAAGCTTCTTGGCCACGGCTTTCTGGGGAGCCCAAGTAAGCCCTGATGAAGCCTTCCATAAGGCCTTACATAGGCCTTCTTTGGGCTTCCTCCCCTCCCTCCCCCCCCAGCCCCCATGGATGTTACCAGACCATAGGTCGGGAGCGAACCAAGCGGAAGGAAGCCACGAAACGGCAGGTGAAGCTGGAGGAAGGCATGCAGGCCGGCTCCTTCAAGTCGGGCAAGAAGTTCTTCATCGACACCATGCCGCCCGGGCTCGAACATCGGAAAGGGGCAGGGGATGCGAAGGTGGCGTGCGGCAGCTTGACCAGCCGGAACATGGGGATCACTTTCTGGGGCAAAGGTGGGCCTAGTGGAAGCTTGACACGTTCTCAGCTTTATGCTGCAGGTGTTCAAGAACCTGAAGGGAACCAACCATGTTGATGTTCAACTACATAATGTTGAGACACCCTGTGCAGATGCAGGCTGCAACTCGCCCTCCGGTTCGCCTCAGGAGGCTGTTGCCTATGGCGCGGTTCCTCCCGCAGCCTCCCAAGGGCGGCGGCAAGGGCGGCAAGGGCGGAAAGGGCGGCAAGGGCGGCAAGGGCGGAAAGGGCCCGGACACCCAGCACCCAGCACCGCAGTCTTTGGAGTCTCGAGGTTTGGGGTTTGCGTGCAGTCCTGACCCGTGAGGCTACATGTCGGATGTTCTTGCTTGATGTAGGCGCTTCAGTAGCTTCAGGAGGGGCGTGGCATGGTGGAATCTGATCCCGCTCCAGTTCCGCATGTTGCCAAGATGCGTTTGCGTCTTTTTAATGGTCGTACTGGTCAGGAGAACTTGTCAGTTGCCTTGAACATGGCATCCAATTCTGCACTATGAAAGAGGGCAACAGTTCCACTCAATTGCTTCTGTGTCATTCGGCGGCTTCAGCATTGTTTGGCCCGTACTGGGGGATGTCAATGGGCACAACAAAGCCGGTCTTGAAACAGTCAGTTGTTCAAATCTGACCTTTTGACCTCTGTTTCTTTTCCGACATGTCTGGGTCTTTTGCAGAAGGTCACTGTCGGCTAAAGTGGGGGCATAAGATTGATGCCTACCCCCTCCCCGCAATCAACGCCTCACAGAAGGATTGTGTGCGCTTTGCGGGGAGGCTCAATATGTTCCCCCTTTGCACCTATCAGGAAAGAAAAGCAAAGCACTCCTGTCACTCCGGGCATGCCATGCTGAGGTGGAAAGGGCTTCGGAAAAGGATGCTGGGCCGCAATCACAATGACTAGCAACATCGAACATGTTACAGACTGCAACTGTTTGCCTGCAGCGGGGCACACTCAACGTCGATGAAAATCGCGCATGTCTCGAGGAAAAGGGAAGGTGAAGGGCAAGAGCAAGGACAAAGGAGGCGGCGGAGGCGTCGGCCTTGCCGGAGGGATGCGCTTGGGGCTGTTCAGCACACAGCCAGACAGGAAGCATGTCAGACGCCATCAACGTCTGCCATTCCCTTTGACCTTTCGAACATCCAGAACCCTTCGCCATTTGGCTAACAGTTGCTTCAGTTTTCTGGCAGATGTCTAGACAGTTTCGGTCAGGGGGTCGCGGCGGCGGCGGTGGCGGCCGTGGCCGCGGCGGCTGAGCTTCAGAGTTCTGAGGATTCCAAAATGGAAAGCCTTGAGTGAAGACGCACGGAGCGACAGGCAGCTTTAATTGCCACAATCAAGAGAACAAAAGAGCGTCGCGTGCAGAAAGATTTTGCCACTACATGGAGCCGATTCTGTCGGCGCAAGCTTCTGGCTCAAAGCTTGGGCCAGG